ATGTTCATTTATTTTGAGAGAGACAGAGTGCAAGCAGGGGAGGGGCAGAGAGGGAGACACAGAATCTGAAGCAGGCTCCAGGCTCCCAGCTGTCAGCACAGAGCCCAACACGGGGCCTGAACTCACAAACCATCAGATCATGACCTGAGCCAAAAGTCAGATGCTTAACCGACTGAGCCACCCAGGCGTCACGCGATCTATTTTCTACATAATTACAGAACTGGTACCATCACCAATTTCAGAATTACCAATAGCAGAGGCATACTTTCTGTTTTCTTTTCCAAGGCCCATTTGGAGCCGTTTATTGAGGTACTAACTGATCAAGTTACCAGAACTGTCATAGTCTCATAGAAACATCAAAGCTCCAAGGATGTCACCCTCTTACTCCATCCCAAATCAGAAAGTTGCACTAGAAAAATGAAATGAAATGAAATAAAAACAGGTAGCATGACTGAATGGTCATCCCTAAACACGCCATCATTCCCACGGTCTGACACGGGCCTGCCTTTCAAGGATAGTATCATTGGTTCAGTGTCTGGCAGGACAGTAACATCAACCTCTATCATCTCACCTCATCTGCACAGAAACCCTCCTGTTAATGGGGTATTATACCCCTTTACAGATGAGACAACTGAGGCCTTGTTCAAGTCACATGTTAAGATGCAGGACAAGTTTCAAAAAATCAGGTCCTTTATCTCTGAAGACTATGTACCTCCTCCCACCATGAACCTGGGGTTGGAAAGTGTTTCTTACTGTCCCTTTGATCACAGCTACTGGAACTCAGAAAGGGCCAGTCACCGCAGTGTGGGAGCTTCAGCCAGGCCACAACATCTGGGCAGTGTAAAGGCTCACCCATCAGCTTGCTCTTAGTTACCTGAGACCAATTTTCTCACCCCAGACTAGACAAAAAAAAAAAGGGGACTGTGCTTCCTCATTTACAGGAAAGGTGCACTATACCACCCACCTCACTGCACCCCCCAAACACCAGCCTCAGCACCTCCACCCTTCAGCTCACGTGTTTGCTAAATCAAACAGAAAGACAAAAGACCACAAAAATACTACAATGCTAGCTTAAAAAAAGACCTCCCAGCAAATAAATCTATGCAGTATTGTTACAGTCACATAAAAGGGAAAACATGAACTGATTTCTGCTAAAGTAAAGGCTCCACATGATCAGAAGAATAAAAAACCGAAAGAGAAAAAATGGTCTGAATTTAACCTTCAGAGGCAGAAATAAATCTCGGCAAGAGAACTGCTGGATGAAAGACTCTAACATTCACTTTGTGCAGCGAAGGCAGTGTCTGCTGTCACCCCTTTGGGAATGAATTTGTTACTCTACCCAACAGTGGTGTCCCAGCCTTCCTTCATCCGCCTGCCACATACGTGGGCACTGTATTGGGCTTTCTAAAACTCCTATCTCCCAATCTGGCAGGCAAATGCACTTTGTCCCAGGTACTGATGCTCTAGGGGGTCAGGTGACTTGCCCAAGGCTGAACGCATTGTTAAGCCGGGAGATGCCCAAAAGCCAGCCTTGGGCTTACGCCGCACCACACTGCCTGTTAAATGAGGACCTCCTACCCCCCTCCAATTTTTTGTTTCTTTGTAATGTCAAGTACAGGAAGTTCAGAAAACTCAGCTGGCATCGGATACGCAGTTATGATTAACGCAAACAGCTACTGATATGGGGATTTATCACTAACCTTTTAGGTCTGTATCAAATAGCAATAACACCACAAACACATTCATGTCATTTTTAGATGTCACTCTGGGTGAGCTGATATACACTTGTTATTTCTTTTTTTAAGAGATATAGCCTGAGATGTTTTAAACCACAAATCCAATGTCTAAACCAGTTTAAGCTGCAGAACGATTCCTCTGGTGAAAGAGGTCTGAATGCAAGTGGAGCGAGCCCACGTTCAGCAAAATCACGCCTGAGTTAACGTGGTAATGCGCCTATGCCAACAAATATGGCTTTCCTCAAACAAAGGTAGGAAAAGCAGGCTGTTTGACCTGTTAGGTGGCAGCATTGATGATGACCTTTGGGTTAAAGGTGTGCATAACAAAGTGCATCAGCCAGTATGAGCCTCCCTCTGCATCCGTGTATATCAATCTGCAAAGAGAAGGGTCAAAAAAAGGGTAAGATAACACAAACAATGGTATCAAACTGGATACAACACTGTTTA